AGCAAAAAAGATCAGTGATCAGAGATAGAGTTAGCTTAGGAAACTCTCCAACTCATTGTGATGGATGCTGACTATAGGGAATATCTCCCATATGGAAAAGATTAATTAATCATATAGAGTATGTCAATGTTTTAGTTGAAACTTGAAATATGGTTGAAATGCATCAAAAATTGAAGCCAGATACAAGATTATTACTAAATTCATACAAAATATGTACTTGAAACCTCAATTGGAATAAACATTCTCTTTTTTTCCCTCTTCTTCTGTCATTTTCTTTGTTATTACAGTCAAAGTGTTGATGTCGTAGGCTACTGAAAATCAGTGCTAAGAGATGTTATTCAAATGGGGGCAAATACAAGAATTGTTTCCTTCTTGATAATCCTTTCCAAACGTGGAGGTTTGGATTTTACAATGTAGAATGCATTTATGTACAAATGTTGCTGTACACTTTCATGAAAGGAACAAACAAATAAACAAAAAAATAAATGAAACTTATATGATTCAGGAACTTTCACGTTTAGAAAAATGTTATATCACACTTATACGAGGATACATACTATTATTATTGGTATTATTACTAGACATAGTAAAAAATATATGGAAAACATATGGTGATATATTATCTACACATATACCACCTATATAGCTGACTCTTGTATAATCCACAATATACTGTAACATGCAAAACTGGCCAATTTCAAGAGTAAATCATGTCAGTCTTATTTTGATATGCAGTATGTTAAACATGCACTGCAAGTAACTGAATGAATGACAGAAATATTTTTTTATGTTTTTCCTATTTCTTTTTCGTATGACATAATCCTTTCAGAGAGTTCTCAGCTACCACTTTATACATTTCGTATTGATAAATACTGTATATACTTTAGTGATAATATCAAGGTGCTGCTGTATTCTATCTGTAGATCTATATCAGAGGGTGGTGCAGTTCTTTTTACATCTCTCTTTACAGGTGATGAAGCTGATGGTGAAGTTTTGTCAATCTCTCTCTTCTGTCTCCTCTTTCTTTCCCCTTTTCTTATAAATTATAATAAAATTATTTACATATATAAATCAAGCAGAGCACTATGCCTAAAGCCATAATGCTCCACTTGTGAGAATAAAATCTGTTGCCAGACAAGACACTATTAAAAAAAATGTAGAGTGCATTTATGTATAAATGTTGATGTCAACTTTCGTGAAAGGAGCAAATGAATAAGTAAAAAAATAAATTAATGAGTAAATACATAAATAAATAATAAATTATTCAGAAATGTTCCACCCCAGTAGAGGTATCGGGGGGACGGTATCAGAAGTGTACTGCCTTTCAGTTTAAGCGTTTCTTTATGAACATTGAAATGTAACACTGAGAAAGAGCTATCACAGAGATACTATGATCTCGCAATGCCAAAGTTCCAACTCAGGTTGTGTCAAACTACAGTCCCTATTGGTGAAGACTTTTGTGGTCATCAAAATATGTATGTGTATATATACGTTTATCATGGACCTGTCAAAATACAACAAATGTATTTCTATACATTTTTATACTTATTTTTTCTCTCCATAAAGTGAATACTGTTATTTTGCCCTGCTCTGGATGTTCTGTGGATGCATTTTTTTTTGTAATTATAGTCTTGTTGATGATGTTGCTGCAATAACCTTTAAGTTGGAGTCATCAGGTCAAGTGGACCTGATGTTATGGACAAACTAGGCTTTCTAAATAACATCTCTGATTAGTTAACACTATCTTAAGGATTTGTTATTTTTAATTAAATTCAGTTTTCAATTCAGTTTATAATGCCAATTCACAACACATGCCATCTCAAGGCATTTTACAGAGACAGTTCAACCAGATCATACAGTCAAATTGATTCAAAGTGTTCTATCTAAAGAAAACCAGTTGATTGCATCGACTCATTGACTCAAGGGAAATCCCTCACACGAAGCATGCTTGTGGCGACAGTGGAGAGGGAAAAACTCCCTTTTAACAGGATGAAACCTCCAGCAGAAGCAGACACAGTGTGCTGACTAGTGAAGCTAACTAGGGTTCAAGGAAACAGCAGCAGAGATACAAAAGGCAACTGTCAATCAGCTCCAACATTTATAAACAAAGGTGTTGATGGCAGCAGCACAGCTGATATTTCTCTAAAGCAGCGGTCCCCAACCACCGGGCCGTGGACCGGTACCGGTCTGTCGGTCATTTGGTACCGAGCCGCACAGAAAAAAGTGTGTGTATATATATACATATATATAGATAGATAGATAGATAGATAGCATTTATTGTCACTGAACAAAATTCAACGAAATTTCCATTGCAGCTCCCGTGCAAAAGGTCAAATATATACAGTACAGACAAGCAAACACACAACAATAATAAAAACAACATACACAACTAAATCAACTAAAGGCACTCAGCCATGCCAAAGAAGCAGCAGCAGGTCCAATCATGGCAAAACACAGAAAATGTGACAGTGCAAGGTGCAGAACAGTATGGCTGTGTGTGTGTGTGGGGAGGGTGGGGGGGGGGGGGGGGGGGGGGGGGGGGGGGGGGGTGTATGTGTGTCTGCGAGGTTATGATATGTGTGGGAGGGGGAGACGGCAAGGAGTAATGGCTCTGACGGCTGTGGGGAAAAAAAAAAAAAAAAAAAATATATATATATATATATATATATATATATATATATATAAATAAATAAATATATATATATATATATATATATAATTTATCAACGATCAGAGTCTGAGTGATGTTTTATTTTGAAAAATATAAAGAATTGAGGTATTCTCTCACAATTACATCAGTCGGTGCATCTGTGCCTCTTGACACAGGTTAATTCAGTTCAAGACTCATCCTATCTACAACATCCTATCTTTGTGAAGCAGAATTTTCTGCCGGTTACAGGACCAGCTTGTGTTATTTTTATGCTGTTTGTATTTGATTTTATGCCAGTCGTATCATTTTACTTGATCGTATTTAACCCCGCCAGGCCGGTCCGTGAAAACATTGTCTGACATATAGCGGTCAGTGGTGCAAAAAAGGTTGGGGACCGCTGCTCTAAAGGATGGAATAACAGCCAAACTGGAACAGACCAGATGAAGCTACTATAGAAATTTAGAGAGAGCATCACCTTAGAGATTGAATTAACAAATTCTGCAGAGTGGGCAAATAGACATAGTTAAGAGGAGTTTGAAAATAAATGCATTTACTAGCTATTAGTTGGTTTTTATTGTTTATTTAAACATTTTGTGATCGCTCTACTTGATATTTTGTGTGATACTGTACAACATTTGGTTTTATATAATAATTTTTTTAATATATATATATATATATATATATATATATATATATATATATATATATATATATATATATATATATATATATATATATATATATATATATATAAAAATAACTAAAACAGGCAAAGACATTTAGGCAAATGCTGAGATACACAGGGCGTTATGAAATAACATCCAACCATTTTGTAGGATTCAAACTAAATATATACATATTCTCAAAAGCCATCAATGGCATATGCCCAAAAAAAAAAAAAAAAAACAGAATCAATGTATTTTATTTTTTCTATTTTATTTATTTATAAAAGCAAGTGCTGCCTCCCTTCTAATGTTTAAACAGCTTAGTGGTCAAAGACTGACTGATGCACAAACAGATGCTGCTGTAAGCAGATGGATCAACTTCAATCATTTAATATATAAATGTAATGAATCCTCAGTGAAGATGGAGCCTCTGCATACTGTGCAATGAGATCATAGTTTTTCCTAAACAAATTATTTTTAAAGAAATCACATGCACAACTTTATAGACATAATACAACATAAAACACACCTTTGAATCAGGTGAAACAGTCTAATTCTAAAATCAAATGAACATAAACCTCTTCATCTTTTTAAAGACAACACCAATCATATAATATATTTCAAAGAAACATCATTAAAAAGGTTAGATCCCTCTTGTTCACTTGTTCACGGCTGTGATCCATAAACATAAATCTGACAGAACTAAAAATGTAATGCTAAGCCTTATAGGGCTGTAACTAGATTAGAGTGGAAATAAACATGCAAATTGTGTTTTTAATTAGATTTTTTCTTGCCCTGTTTCAAAACATATGCGACTTTTGTAAGACTTCATATTCTGAAGCACCTTTGTGTAATGTCAGTAGCCCGCTATAACATCAAGAAGCAATTTGATTTGAGTATCTGATTGGGTAAGGACGATTTTTTTCAACATGTGGGACAATGGTTTACCAGCAGACCTTTTATCATCTAAATCCACCTTGCCTTTATAGCCGACAATATTTATCTGTTTGGCTTTTATGGGCCTCTGGTGACCTTTGCCCCTTTCACCGTAAAAGGTTTCCTCGGCTTCTTCTTAGTAATAACCTGTAGGAAAAAAGGAGCATTGTCTTAGAAAACAGACACAAAGCTGATGTATTATGTACTGTATTCTGATATGCTTCTTAAAGTGCTGTTTTTAATAAATATATATCCTGCTGTAGAGTTATGAATTGTTAAACACAGGAGCACAATATCATATTTATTATGTTAAAGAGGCTCTGTGCATGCACGTTGACGCTCCATCTCTCCGGTTCAATTACTACCACATGAATAAATTGGGTTCAAATCTAAGCCTGTTATTCTTTTAGGCTTTTAGTTCTTTTTTTAGGGGAGGTGTTTGTCCAGATTGAGTGTGGGAGTTTTTTTCTGCACCTCCCTCTCTGCCATGCACTGACTGTCACCTTGCAGTTGTTCATTAACCAATATAAGACAGACGAACCAGTCCGTATCAAGGCGGTGGAGGACTGATCTTAGACTGCAGCTAAAGAAGTACAAGGCATACAGGAGTCAACATTTAATCTCTGCAGTACTGATATTATTTTGTTCTTTAGTGTTAGCAGTGTGTACCTTAGAGAAAAGCTTGCTTTGTCCTTTCATCTTGATGTTGGATAGTAAAAGAAGAAGCGTTGTAACTTCTGCCTAGTTACTCACTTCTGTCTTTGGATATATGCAGCCGGTGGAGAGGATCAGACACAACACGTGAAAAAAGGCCTGCTTCTTTCCTTTGATTTCTCTCAACCAACTTGTATCTGTTTGACATGTAGAAGCTGGAAGAAAGGAAAATTTTCCAAGATCAATAATGTACTGCTTGGACTGTTTACTCTACCTGGGAGTGCTGGTACTGGTGGTGTCTGGCAACAAAATACTAGACGACTGTTTGTACTCAAATCATAAATACAAAATGAACGTAGTGCTGCTGGAGGACAACACCTACGAGTGGAGTCGGCCGTTTGTGCAGAGAGCCGTGGAGCAAGCTATAGAGAAGGACAGGCAGGAGAACATCAACAATGGTATGGACTGATGTCTCTCATAATATCCTGGTTATCAGTAACTTCTAAGATGGGCATGCAAGGAAGAATCCACCAAATTCTAAATAACATTCATTATTTATGCTATCAGCAGAGCATAGTCCTGTGAGATGAAGTAAAATTGATACACAAACTGCTTGATTGCAATCTGTAAATCACAATACTGTAAAAATCAAGATGGATGGTAATCAGTTTGGTGGTGAATGTATTTGCATTCAACTTAAATTCATCCTCCTTCAGCTTTTCAGATTTCCACAGGATTTGCGCCTAGTCGAAAAGCTATTTCCTTTTTTTAACTTTCCTAAATGAAATTGGTTAAGCAGAAATTAATTATTAAATTAGGTTATGTTGATAAAGAACATATAGATCTTGATTAGCAGATTAAAAACACATAATCTCAATAAAATAATGGCAAAATCCTTTAAAAATATGCATGGAAGGACATTTCATATAGTTTCCTACTAGTGCATGTTTTTTAAAAGTTATTTAACAATTCATTCAGGTCTTTTTCAGCGAATACAGAAATAATTAACAGAATTATATTTAGATCTATTGCAACAGGACTGTGTTTGCTACATGCAAGATGAAGGAATCAGGAAAATTTAAGAATTTAAAGTTTAATTGGCAAAATAAACCTGCACCTTTTAGTATGTTTGTTTCTTGTAAACTAGAAATGATTCGTCATATCTTCTGATGTTGTTTTCAAATTAAATGCTCTATGTTTTATGTCGCTATAACTCACTGGGAACTCAGTATAGAAACCTGAAAAAGACTGCGGTGAACAACGTATTACTGATATGAATATTTAGTCGTCTAAGAGTAGATTTTAATCTGTTTTTTTTGTTGTAATTACTCTGGTTTGTCAAGATTGGAACCCTATTTTTGGATTTTTTGTTTTATTTTTTATCCCACATGTAAATCTACACTATTCTTTTTTTGTTTTGATATATAAAAAAAAAACAACAACATAGATGTCATAAATTAAACTTGAAAAATGTATTTGAGTGCCCCCTGTTCGAATCTAATCATCAGATTTATAACAAGTTCGAACACTACTACCAAAAGAGGAAGCGTTGTAGGGAAGAAAACACGTCATCACAAACAGGGGACTGTAGTTACTTTATTTATGTGTTTGTTCACAGATTAATTTTGGTCAGGGGCCTGAAGCGTTTCCCAGCATCCACTAGAGAAACACATCAACCCATGACTGCTTCATGTACACTGAATCAATAACTATTATTTATTGCAGACATCAGTATCTTTGGTGTTATCCTAGCAACTATAAAATACAGAACTCCTGCTATCATAGCTGATTTATTTTCAGATTAAATAATACTCATTATAGCAGCACCTGGCTTATAGATCAAAGGTGTTTGTGTTTTGTTATTTTTCTAATCTACAGAATGTTAGAACATTTGTTATGGAAGTCTAATAAGGAAAAAAAAGTTGTATAATGTACAGAATATACTTCATTTGATTATATTCTACTGTGTAAGGCTTGGGGTTAATTTATCAGGGGTTTGGGAATGACCAAAATTGGTAACTGTCCTTACTACTGGTGCAAAGTCTTTATCACCCTTTTATATTAGTGAAATATATGGCGATTTTTATGGGGATCATCCTTTAATTCTTTGTGATTTACTAAAAACTCAAAGCATCCAGCAGTGGCCTAAAATTGATTCACCACAACCCTTTACCATTATCCACTTTCGGAAGCATGAATAAACTCATATCCACTATAAAGCATTGATATGGGAGATTTTTGGAGTGTGACATGGAAGAGCAGCATGTTCCCTCAACAAGTACGTACAGAAAAGTGATCCTCAAGTGTCATCTGATCTTCAAAAACGTTAATCAGAACAATACAATAAAGAAAACATGCTAGATTAAATGAAAAACATTTTTTTGCCTTTATTTAAAGCACTATGTGCAATGGAAAAACCTCCGAGGGGATGCAACAACGAGCTGAGGTGCGTAGAAATCCCCTAAATGTTAATGCTGGAGTCTGAAAGCAAGGTCCAGTTGATGCCTTAGATTAATTTAATGCTCACATGGTCCATAATCTCAGGAGCGTCTTGTATCTTGTAAAAGGACAACATGGTCCATTATTCTGGGGTTTTATAGTTGTATGTTTATTATGATACTATAATGTAAAAGAGGTTTTGGTGGCAATACTTAAACTACAGAGCTTTCCACACATCCTCAATTTAATCCCTTTTTAAATAATGTCATATCTTGCTGAGAGGAGCTGGTATGCTAGCTGTAATGCAAGGATTTATTGGTGGAAAAAATATAAAAATATAAATACTAAAAATAGGGATATTCTATTCCCCTAAGAGCTGAGTTGTATTACATTTGACCAGAAACAGTTTTAAAATCAACTTTAATCACCAGTTTGTGATCAGAAATAGAGAAATCAACTTTCAATCTACTCTCAGGGAAGAAAATATAAGAAAATTTAAGTATAGAATAAGAGAAATAGACATTTATTTTTGTCAATTGTTGTATATACAATATGTCAAAAAATTGTTACGTTGGTCAAAATAAGCATCTCCGTGATTGGCACTGTGAAATATTACATTTAATTCAATAAACAAAATAAATCAGGCTAACAGTTTACACTCATCCTAAATAAGTGCTTAAATTGCTTAATAAAAACAAAGCTTGATAACTCAAAACATTAGAACTGAGTCAATGAATAAAAGTGAAGCGTTTGAAAGTAAAGACTTGTGCAGATCAGTGTGACCTCATTGGATGATTTTTGTTAGCAATGGGTGTGGCCAGCATCATGAGCGAGGCAGCTGCCACAGTAAATTTCTATTCAATATAGCTGACCATAGTTCTTTATTTAGGTTGTCAAGTTTTGGATTTTAAAATAAGATAAAATTTATAACATCTGTTGCGAGCCGTAGGACTAGCCCAGAGAGTGTCCTTTATATTTAAAGACCTGTGTACAAGAAATAAAAAATAAACACTTTAACCAATTGCAAACTACAATAATGTGATAACATTTTGGGTTGCAATGCTAGCAACAGTTCCATTTGGAGATGGAGAGCAATTGTTTTTCAAATTAACATTTTATAATACAATAATATGGGTAATTTCCAGGACACTGATAATAGGAGGATGGTAGGAAAGATGGGTAAAATGTGGTAGTTAACTGTCCAAACCGGGAGACTTACAGCTATGGTTGGGTTATTGTGACCTTCAGGTTTCCTGATGAATCAAACATTAATGTTTCATCCAGACAAGGAATTCAAGCCTGTTGAGTTGTTAGAATTGACAAACTGCAAAAGCAATGTTTCATGTTTAACAGAACAATATTTTTATACGATACTGAAATAAACAGTTTGAGATCCGAACAGGATGCTCCAAAGGCCAGTTTCCCCAAAATGACCGTACTGTCAATAATAAGTTACGTCTACGTACAATTATTATGTAGGTAGATCTGTACAAACTCAATGTGTACAACTTTGTATATATGCAAAAATTCTTTCGAGTTAACACAAATATTTTTTTCTTTTAAGGCAACAAGTTTGCACAATGTTTAAGGTAAAATATATTAATTCAGTTTACAGCGTGGGTACTCAGACTGATAAGTGTTCATCAGACAGAGACAGTTTGGAGAGCATCCTGACAATGGCGCCTGAATTTTTCCATATGTTTAAAAGTCTGAGCTCAGGATGTGTGGAATTTGCAGAAATGTTGGCTGCATTTTCCTGACAGTAGGCTGACAGGAAAGGGGTTATGAAAGAGGGGGAGAAACATGCTGCAAAGGAACACAGGTGAGATTCGAACCCGGGTCAGCCACGTCAAGGACTAAGGCCTCCATACATGGGTCGTGCGAGCTAACCACTGTGCTGCCGAAGCACCTGTTCTTCTTTTGACCCAATGGCTGAACAAATCCTGGACAAAGGGGCGGCAACCCTTGATTATTGTCCCTGCAGATCTTAATGTTTTGCACCTGTTCTGTTGGTGGCTTAGCCAAGCTAGATGGTGATGGATGAACACAAGACAGACTGAATAATAGCCTCTTAGCAGCTCCAGTGGAAGGTTGTACTTTTGAGAAACCTGAGCCTTTTCCGTAATGGGGTTAATTTATCAGGGGTGTGGGAATGAGTCTGTGTGTTTGACTCAAAGTCAAGAGTCTGTGTGTTTGAGTAAGTATTTGGTACTTCTGGAAAATGTTTGTCCAATTTCCCAGCAACATGCTCTGTTAATGAATGGGGAAATTTGGAAGAACGGAAGTTTTCTGCAATTATGAACACGGGTCAGTGTTCTGGGTTGGTCAGTGTTCTGGGTTGGCCATTTTTAGCCTGACAAGCCTGAATGACATCCAGCGTAACCAGCTGGATAATAAGTCACATAATCAAAGCTCTGAGTGTGCAATTTAAAAGTACAAATTCAGCTGTTATATGAGGACTGCAAAGGTTTATTTAAGATCATTTGGGAACCAACAGCCATGATGAAACTGTAAAGAAGTTTAAGTCAGGAATTTGTTACAAAATCAACAGCTCACACAGAAGAATCTGTTTGTATTTCACCAAATAGTTAGATCTTTATAAAAAAAGAAAAGAAAACCGTTGTTGAAGAAAAGTTGCAGAAAGTCCAGTGACTGGCCAGACTAAAATCACTAAAAACGATTTTGTAACACCTGAAAAAGCATGAATTGAATCAAACCTGTTGTAATGGCAGATCATAGCCTTAGTGGGGCTGCAAATATGAAGGAACCACTTCCATCCCATGCAAGGGATGTGGCAGTTAACAGGTTTCATTTGCCTCAAACTATGTAAAACACGCAGCAATCTTGAAGAAAGGTGCTTTGGTCACATAAATCAGTCGGTCTACATGTTATTTGTGTCCATGATGAAACATGGTAGTGATAGCATCATGTTGTGGGATACATTTCTTTCCAAAAAATTTAAAAAACAATCCACTGGACTTGTTTCCAAGTTTGAAGAAGATTTGATTCCCATCCAGGTAGCTTTTTCAATTCAGAATGTCAGAATTAGCTTGAGTTTGAAGCTTGTATAGTAGCCCAAAAACTTGTTTTGGCTTAGAAAACATGCAAATTTTCCCAGAAGAACGGGTCAGCCCCCTAGGAATGGGGAGTCGTTTGGGGTTTTCTGTTAGCCTGCAATACCCGACATTCATTAAACAGTAAAATCAGGAGTCCAGATTTTACTGTTTTATAAATGAGGGGGTAAATGTTGTCTGTAGACTGTTATTACAGTATAAATAATGTGAGCATGTTGCCAGCAGAAACAGCTGTTAGTATAGACAAGGAGCAGAGCGCACCACTTTTAAAACAGATAGGTAAGTTCTTTATCACAGTCTCATGCTACATACTCGGTGATAGTGGGTGACAGTATGCACCTAGAAGTTAAGTTTGCAATCTGCCATTAAAGGAAAAAACACAGGTTGCAGCTGACCTGTGTTATGGTAAGTGTGTTAATCAGTTCATTTGATTTGGATTGGGCTGCTTATTGTGATAAATATTTGATAATAAAAAGGGATAATAAAAATGGGCTTTGATGGGTTATATTTCTTCATAAGGGACCAGGAAGTTTATCAGAGGTAACAGGAATATGATTGGAGCTATATGTGAAGTAATAAAGTGAAAGCCATTTTTAAGCTTTAATATAAGGCTGTGATGACCTTCCACATAAAGGCATGACTACACAAAAACTGCTTATATAAAAAAAAACAGGGAATCAATGGGAATGTTTAAAAATCAACATTCTTTAACGTCAGCTGTTTTTGAGCATTTTTAGTAATTAGAATAAGAAAAAAAATTCAGTTTTCTAATGGTAAATGGTAAATGGTAAATGGCATGTACTTATATAGCGCCTTTTATTCAAGTCAGGAGACTTGACCAAAGCGCTTTTCACACAAATAACAGTGGTTGAGGGGTGGAAACGTCCTGAAAATACATTAACGGGCAGCAAATTCTAAACATAAAGCAAACATAAGAATGAAAATAAAACAGACAAAAAGGAGGCAAAGGAAAAAGCCTGCAAAAAAAAATTCCAATCCACATTTAAACAGTGCCCCCACATAGAGACACAAAACAGATACAATAAAAGTTAGGAAAAGCTGCAAGCTAGATCCCCATAACACAAGTTTTCCAGTTCCCAAAAAATATTATCAATTCATACAAGACCAGAACTTTAATAAAGAAAACTCACTTTTTCTTTCTTGCTTTTAAATATCCCCTGGGTGGGCATCCAGTTTTTGCAATTTATCTGAACCAAGGCGGCCCCAGTTGTGTAGATGATCATCTCTCATATGTGGTCTGGAGCACCTCCATTATTCTTACCCAGTATTGGAGTTTTCTTTTCTTGCAGCCCTTTTTCCCCTTTCCATGCGTTTTGTGTTTGCATGAGCTTGACAGTTCTTCCTTTATCGTCTCCTTCCATTCCTGCTGAAGTGTTCCCTAAATCAGGATGAAATACATTGAGGTATTGTCACAAAATGTATTTAAGACAAAAGGTGTGAATACTTTTCCAAAGCAATGGAAGTGCAAAAATATAATAGCTTGCAAAACAACCATTTTCCACTGATATTTCTGTTCTATTTTAGAAGTCAGGTAAATATTCTTTTCACTGTGTTAGAGACGAAAACTTTACGTTGGGCCAGGGACTTGACAAAGGAACAAGGATTCCTATTCAATAAATCCTAAAACATTTTTTATTTTATTTTAAGTATTAAGTAACATAATTCACAAAGTAAATCAAATTATATATATTTAAATCTTTATTTTTGTTAATTATGGTGTTTTTCCCCTTATAGCTGATGAAAACACGACATATAACAGTAGACAAGTACATCAGACCACAAAAAAAAACATTTTAATACAAAAAAAAAGGGTTTAGAGAAAGGTATGTTTTAAGGTTCCCTAAATGTTTTAGTTTTAGATGTTAATTTTCAAATTGAATCCAATTACAGTAATATAAAATTTCATAGAATATCCATCCATCCATTTTTCGTTACCCTTATTACGGTCATGAGCGGTGCTGGTGCCAGTAACCATCTGTCTATGGGCGAGAGGCGGGGAACAATGTGGACAGGTCACCAGTCCATCGCAGTTTGTTCAAAATGTGTGAATAAATAAGTAGTTGATGTATATTCAGTGCAGTTGAACCAGTACATCTTTAAAAGGATATTTCCATAACCATTTATTTTATTGTTCATGAAGACAAATCAGTGGCATACTTTCAGTGGGAATCCAAAGGCAAATATTTCATCACTGTGTGATAAAAGTCAGTCTAATCTAATCTTAATAACAGGAGATCAATAAATGAAATTTAATATTAATGCACCTTATCTTTTTTCCATGACCCAAGGCCTAGACTACAATCTGACAGCTAACTACAACGGGTTCAACACGACCGTGTACAACAGGCAGGGCTGCGGGAGCAGCACCTGTGAAGGAGTGGCAATCCTCAAGGCATTGGATGTAAGTTAGTTAAATGTGTTCAGAGGAAATTGATTTGTTTATGCCATGAATGCGTTCGTCAAGGTTTCGGTTATTTCCACCGATTTAGGTAAAGCTGTAGATCATCGGACTGGAACTACAGGTGCTGGTCATAAAATTAGAATATCATGAAAAAGTAGATTGATTTCAGTAATTCCATTTAAAAAGTGAAACTTGTATATTATATTCATACATTACATACAAACTCATATATTTCAGATGTTTATTTTGTTTAATTTTGATGATTACAAATGACAACAAATGAAAATCTCAAATTCATCATATCAGAAAATTAGAATATTACTGAAGACCAATAAAAACAAAGGATTTATAGAAATGTTGGCCAACTGAAAAGTATGAACATGAAAAGTATGAGCATGTACAGCACTCAGTATTTAGTTGGGCCTCCTTTGGCCTGTATTACTGCAGCAATGCGGCGTGGCATGGAGTCGATCAGTCTGTGGCACTGCTCAGGTGTTATGATAGCCCAGGTTGCTCTAATAGTGGCTTTTAGCTCTTCTGAATTGTTGGGTCTGGTGTATTGCATCTTCTTCTTCACAACACCCCATAGATTTTCTATGGGGTTAAGGTCAGGAGAGTTTGCTGGCCAATTAAGAACAGGGATACCATGGTCCTTCAACCAGGTACTGGTAGCTTTGGCACTGTGTGCAGGTGCCAAGTCCTGTTGGAAAATGAAATCTGCATCTCCAAAAAGTTGGTCAGCTGCAGGAAGCATGAAGTGCTCTAAAACTTCCTGGTATGTGGCTGCGTTGACCCTGGACCTCAGAAAACACAATGGACCAACACCAGCAGATGACATGGCACCCCAAACCATCACTGACTGTGGAAACTTTACACTGGACTTCAAGCAACGTGGATGAAGTGCCTCTCTTCTTTTCCTCCAGACTCTGGGACCTTGATTTCCAAAGGAAATGCAAAATTTACTTTCATCAGAGAACATGACTTTGGACCACTCACCAGCAGTCCAATCCTGTTTCTCTTTAGCCCAGGCAAGACGCTTCTGACGCTGTCTGTGGTTCAAGAGTGGCTTGACACAAGGAATGCGACAGCAGAAACCCATGTCTTTCATACGTCTGTGTGTGGTGGTTCTTGAAGCACTCACTCCAGCTGCAGTCCACTCTTTGTGAATCTCCCCCACATTTTTGAAGGGGTTTTGTTTCACAATCCTCTCCAGGGTGCGGTTATCTCTCTTGCTTGTACACTTTTTTCGACCACATCTTTTCCTTCCCTTCGCCTCTCTATTAATGTGCTTGGACACTGAGCTCTGTGAACAGCCAGCCTCTTTAGCGATGACCTTTTGTGTCTTGCCCTCCTTGTGCAAGGTGTCGATGGTCGTCTTTTTGACAACTGTCAAGTCAGCAGTCTTCCCCATGATTGTGAGGCCTATAGAACTAGACTGAAAGACCATTTAAAGGCTTTTGCAGGTGGTTTGAGTTAATTAGCTGATTAGAGTGTGGCACCAGGGGCCATCAATTTTGAACCTTTTCACAATATTCTAATTTTCTGATATGATGAATTTGAGATTTTCATTTGTTGTCATTTGTAATCATCAAAATTAAACAAAATAAACATCTGAAATATATGAGTTTGTATGTAATGTATGAATATAATATACAAGTTTCACTTTTTAAATGGAATTACTGAAATCAATCTACTTTTTCATGATATTCTAATTTTATGACCAGCACCTGTATTTATCTTACTAACATAGGAGAACAGCAGTGATGACTGGATCTGAGGCGCCATCTTCTCATCAACAAGTTCCCTTTTTTTGTTCTACCTTTTATTATACCAAGATTACCTTTTGGCTGGCACAGCTTTATATCTGCTGCTGCCAGAGGAGATGGTTGTCATGGTGCCCAGTCAAAGATCAGCTCCCTGGCCTTATTGCAGGCACATGGTTCATGTTCAAATTGTAGGAGTTCAATAAAAAAGCCCTGCTTCCTCAACAAAAAAGTACATAACATGACGATTATAAAAAATCTGGACGATAAAGATTTTGGTGAAGATTCACAAGAAGTAAGACCCTAACGTTTTCAGGGTTTCCTGATTTTTTTCACATTTTTTTAGAAATAAATGTCACACAAAAATGGTATTTTACACGTAATTAGAACCTAATTTTAGATGAGGTGTTTAATTAGATTACTGATTGGAACCCAGCAGGAAACAATGTGGTCAAAGCTCCACTTCTGATGAAACATTACAGCTCCATGCTGGACGCCTTCTTTGGTGTGTTTCAATGATTGTGTAACATCACCACATAAAATGGCCCTATGTTTTTTTTGACAAATATTGTGGGGTGCAAGTTAAAATGCAGATATTTCAAAAATTGTGGTTATGTTAAAGGGAAGATTATAGGAAATAAGAATTTAAAGATTGTTTTGTGAAATGTTCTCTTTCTATTTGTGGGGGCCCCTGAATAAGGAACCAGCATTCTCTGATTTTATCTGTAAAAAAGAAAAATGTACATACCGGTAAATAATATTTCTACACCTAGCAAAATAGTGCATTGATCTATGAGATCAACGCACTGTATCTGATTTTAAATTCAATATTTCTGTGAAAGTTTGTGCAAATGTTTCTGTTTCTAAACTAAATACAAGTAAAAACAAAACGATGCACCCTAAAATGTTTTGATCGGCAAATATTGACAGGATGGATGTAAAGCAAGATAATTACAGGAGTGGACTTATAAACCAGTTTTTGAAGAATATTTAACTGTTTGTGCTGCAATTATTGTTGCAGCGCATGGGTGAAGTCGGATGCGTTATGCTAGGACCTTCATGTACTTATGCCACCTTCCAATTAGTGGAGTAAGTATGACCTTAATGTTTCTCTAACCAGCATCATCTATTCACCCTGTCTAATTTTTTACCCTCTCTATCTATCCTAGTGATGAGATCGGCTTAACTCTGAGTATTCCCATCATCTCAGCTGGGAGTTTCGGCCTCTCATGCGACTACAAACCCAAACTGACTCGTCTTTTGCCTCCAGCTCGAAAAATCATTGATTTATTCCTGAACTTTATGAATGAGGACCTGGGGTTTAAGTCCAAATGGAAGAAATTTTATGTGTACAAAGAAGGGAGCTCTGCACCTGAAGACTGCTTCTGGTGAGCCAAAGAGAGAGAGAACGTGAGAATTAAATAGCATCTTTGCTTTTATTTTGTGATCCATCGCCTTTAGCTTTCTGCTTTTCCAAAAAAGGTACATAAACGCACTGGAAGCTCCGTCTTCAAGGTTTGCCTCAAATACAGATAGGGTGATGCTGCGGAACATGGATGAGCTAACAAAAGCACTGAAGGACTCAAAACGACACAGCAACAGTGAGTTTTTAAAACTGATTATCGGTTTAAACTACTGTAGTTTAACTTTTAAATTTCTAAACTTTTACTACTTAATATAACCCATTTTCTTTTGTATCCCTTTCCCAATAAGGTGATTGGCAGAAGTTCAAGTTTTTGAAGATGCTTTATAACTATTGGCGACCCCCCTAATAATCTGATGATAACTTGGCAAAGATAACATGTTTTCTGAATGTATGCCATCATTTGTGTAAATGAAAAAGGTCAAATAGATGAATAGGCACTATGCAACAAACATACTCTTTAACATCTTTTAAAAAGTATAAAAGATGCTCATCGTGGCCATAAAGAATTTGAACATATTTCACCCATTATTTTTTAAGTCTGCTCATCCATCTCTTCACCAATCAATTTTCTTTGGTCTCATTTGACTTTATGGTTCTCCCCATTTGTGACTCTGAGTTGTTAGTTTACTGTTATCAATTGTTCTGTTTTGTTCTTTGGTTTATTTTCCATTATATTCAGTCTTTAGTTACTTTCTGTTGCGCCCTTGTGCTTGTTTTTTTCCCTCCGTGGATTCCTTCTCATCAGTTCCACTCACACCTGCTCCTTATTCAGCTCATTAGTCCATCCTTTGTTCTGTTCCCCTTAAATACTCCACCTCTGCAGTCACCTTGCTGGTTCCTTGTTGTTGTTGATTGTTATTTCCTCTTCTTTGGCTCCCTAAACAATTTTTCCCCTAAAGGTTTTTGGTTCCTTATATTTTGTATATTTTGCCTTTTGGATGTCTGCCTCAGTTATTAATTGAATCTATCAGAACTCATCTCTGCTTCACTCGTCTCTGCATTTGGGTCCTCAAGCAACCTCACCACCCATTGTTGACATGCTTCTTACACATTTGCTGATGATAGGGAAGTTTATTTGAGACTTCTTGATTACCTTTCAGTTCTGCCTCTCGTCAATAAAGGCTAGATTTGCAACATGCATTAGAGTCCAGCTAACCAGGCATGAGCCAGATTTATCCATGGAGTTCAATTTGAATTCTACAACATATAAATCTGGAAAGCCTCCTCTATATATTTTTAGCAAAAGCGACTGACTTTTAGTACAACTTTTCCTGGGTAAATCAAGTGACACATTCCCGAATGTTGAACTTTCAGCCAATCACAGCAGCAGTAGCCGCCCTGCTGTATCTCATTCTTGATTTGTTTCACAACTGGTGGAGTTAACTGATAAATCAAACTCTTTCAAAATCTGGTTGGGAGGAATGAGCAGACATTTTCCCATCCACAAAGACAAAACTTGTGTCCCTTTAATCCATCCATCTATTTTCTGTCACGCTTATCCCAGGCTAGTCCATCAAAGGGCAACATGGAGACAAACAGAGACAAACAACCATTCATGCACGCCATCACTTTAATCATTTTAAAAAATGAAATAGGCAGTATTCCAGCCCTCTTTGTTTTTTGCTTCGGCCTGCCCCTTCTGGTTGATGTGTCTACATCACAGACATCTCTGCATTTAATTGGTCTGAGACATTTCAGTATCGAGGATAATCCGTCTGTTGGCTTTTGCGAAGACGTATTTTTAGGAGTTTGTAAATAATCACACAAATCTCAGGACAATTCATGTCGCTTGCTAGGTAATAGTCTACTGCTAGTTTGTGGATCACTGCAGCTCCTCCAGAGTAACACTTGATAGTAACATCTTTCCTTTTTCTAAAATCAAGCTAGCTTTGTCCTCCCTTCATATTTCAATGTGAATTTATGGAAACGAATTTAACTCAGGGTTTCACATTGGTGTATTGATGTTTTGCACATTTTTTGACTGTAGAGCAAGTGCCTTGACTGGTCAGTGTGACCAGAAATTGGCCTAAAAACTAATATAGCTATCATGCTCGTGGAGATTGTGTTTAGACCTTTCTCTGGTTCTGTGCCTCATCCTTTCTTTTAAAATGTTTATTTCTTTCAGTTTTTATTCTATGTGGAGGCCCAAAGGACATTGAAACAATGAAAAAAAACGTAAAAGGCGAGGTTCACCCAGACACCTTGTTCCTTCTTCTTGATGTTTACAAGTAAGTTCAGACTAATTTTGATGTTTTTCCTTCACACACTCTAATTAGTCCATAAAAACAATATGCCATGCAAGATATTTCATCTAGGGAATCATCTTTTCTGTTATCTAGCCCTGCATATTATGTCAATGAAACATCCCCTCCCTGGATGCGTGATGTCCTTGTAGTTACTCTGCCACAAAGGAACTACGCCTATAGATCAAACTCATCATACAACGACACGGTGAGCTGCCCCAAATATCTAAATATGACCAGGGATTAAAACTCGTTTTAAAATAGTGTTGAATAATCTTTTTTTTTATTCATTAAATGTCATGAGCAGATAAATGACTACGTGGCTGGATATCATGATGGAGCTCTGCTCTTGGGCAAAGTTCTGAGAGAAAGGATGCTTGATAATCGACTTAGTAAGGCCTCTGTAAATGTGCCACTGAGTTATAACCCTTTTGGAAATGTCACTTTTGAAGGTGAGTATGATCTGTATTATAGGGGATCCGGTTACAACTTAAAATTATATTGACAAACAGCAAGCAACTTCAAGACAGGATTAAAAGTAAATACTTACTCTAAGCTATACACTATTGATCGAACATATAATAGCTACAAGGCAGCAAATACTGAAAGCATCCATGATTAAAACTGATTTAAAATGTGACATTTATCAGGAACTTATCAGTTGTTAGAGGCTGAATGGCAAATTGCTTTATGGCCTACTTCTGAATTTCAGGGCCAATCTTTGATCTACAAGGGCATAGTGAAGGGGATAAAGATTAAAAAATTAGACAACCTTGCAATCATCCAACTTCAACTACATACAGTAGAACTAGGGTAAAGTCTTCCTTCAGGTTCAATTCATGCCGTTTCAGCTATCACAGACCCATCCTGGTCATCTTCTGAGACCTTTTTTTATCCTGGTGATACAAGCTTTGATCGACCCGAAACACATTCGCCAGAAAGCATCAGTCTGTGCAGATTATGAGCTTGGTAGGAAGAGTCTTTTAAGGATGTTTGCGGGTCTTCTGATGCATCTAGAATTCTCTGTCTCCTGTCATGAAGTTCACCCGGTGATCTCTTGTGTTGCATTTATGACCGTTCGAAAGGCCAGTTAATCTGCTGATGTGCTCCCAGCATACAACTACAACATACAGTAGATCATAAACTCTAGATAGTAACATGATAGAAGCGCATCAGCAGGTTGTGCTGAAAAACTTGTAGAATGTGTGAACCCAACTTGGGATTCCAAATCATTGCCTGTTTATTCTCAGACCATGACGAGTTATTTTAGATGAAAACTCCCAGGAATTGGTAGGAGGTCCCAGTCACTCAGTGAGGTATGAAGAAGGACATCCTAGGTCGATCAATTGTTTCAGTAAATGGACTAATAGAGATCTATAGTAATTTTTGAAGTGGACGAAAAACCCATTTAAATCTGCTTACTATCAGCTTTTATTCGCAGTGGGAACGGCTAACAAACCCCCCATCAACCTTTGTCTAATGACTTGGCAGGCGACCTGGGTTAAAATTGTCTTCAAACAGCTCAGCTCCAATCTGCATGCAGTAGGAACATTAGGGTGAAAAATTAACGTGATGAAATTGAGCGCAACACACATACTTCACAACACTGCGTCAGTTCCATCTGATATAACAAGCAAAAAATTGCTTGATTTGATAAACATGGAGCACTGGAAGGACAGAGAGGTTGGTGAGCTTCTTATGATTCGTAGAGAAGATGAGATTCAGCGCCAAGTTTCAGGCACCGTTCGAGATACTAGCTTAAAAAAAAAACATTAAACATTACAGGTATTTCATTAAGGCAACAAAGTTACGACCGCAAGCCAAGGCAGGTAATCAACAAGATTGCAACACGTTGCTCTCCATTGTTTTTGCTTTTCCTGATTTCTGCCACACTGATGACATCATTAACACTAACCCAGCATGATGGCATAACCAGACGTACAGAGGCCATGCGGCATGCTAGCTGGCATGTCAGACCCAGCTTTTTTGTCAGAGGGAAAGAAGCCAAATGCCAATTAGTGGGTCAACCTGCCTTTGATAAACCCACGTTAACCCACTACTTTCAAAGGGAAAGCAGCTTTATACTGCTGCTTCCAGATCTTTTTGGGTTTATGATGACACACTTGATGCCATTAAATGCAATAACTTAAGTGAGGGATGTATTGAATACATTTTGAAAATCTCTACCAACTCATCCCCACATGACACCTTGACTCTACAGTGTATCCCGCGAGGCCCTGCAGCGTCTCTTAGGTTCACCATGAAAAGTGTAGCCGACCTTTTAACATGAAAAGAATCATAAACTTCACCAGTTTGGCTTTATGACCTAAGTTTTTCATTTATTAATGCATTAATAGACCATAAACGTAGCCTTAATCTGTAATAAAGTTTATGTTTATGAAACTTCTTTACAAATCTGTCTATTTAAACTCTGCAGTCTTTCTGCAATGTTGATGTCAATGATAATTATATAAATAACCCATCCAAACCAAGTAACCACTCTCTAAGCTAACAAATGGAGGCAAAAACTGTTATCTAGTTTTTAAAAATAATTGGCAGAGCCATGGATATAAATGATCCATGAAATTAAACTTTAATCTGAATTTTAATCAGCATCTGAACCAGATTTTGGTGCAAACTTATTTAGATTTTGGTTTTTCATGTGTCTTTGCTGGTATATAGTATTTTTATTGCAGTATATGTATGTATTGTCGGATGCAGGTATGGGAGGAACGTATGTTCTTGATGAGTATGGGGACAGAGATGTGAACTTCACTTTCATTTACACAACAAAAGACACTTTGAAGGTGAGGTTTCTGTTCATTTCACTGTCAGCGCAGCCAAAACAAAGGTTTCATTTCATATTCTTTTCTTCTACAGTATGAAGTTCTGCTAGTGTTTGATACAACACAGAATAAAACCATTGACACGCACCCAAACCCTGCACTGGGCTGGACTGGGAAACTCCCGAGCGATGAACCTCATAATTCAAATGGTAATAAACATTAAATTCCTAAAGCTGAATTTTATTTTTTTGTCATGATTTTCATAAATAGTACAGCTTGTTGGATCCGTAGGAACATTATGAGCAATTAATGTCTAAAGTGCAAATTACAGTTTCCATGGGAGACCAAAGCTGTTATTCAGAGGAGAGTCTGTTTTAAAGTCTTTCAAGTCAGTTCCTTACAACAATTTAGACAAATTATTGTGTCTTTTTTTTGCAGGATAAGGTCTGTGTTAACCAGATTAGACCGGGGGAAAACTGATTATGAAAGCATCATCTTGTTTTAGATCAGGCTTGTCCAAAGTGGATCCTCGAGGGTCGCTGTCTTGCAGGTTTTAAAGGATTCCTGCTCCAGCACAGCTGCATTTCATTGATTGCTGATTAACAGTTTTTTATTGAACTGCAATCATCAGAATCAGGTGTGCTAAAGCAGATTAACTGTTTTTTTGTTGAACTGCAATCATCAGGTGTGCTAAAGCAGGGAAACATCTAAAACCTTCAGGATAGTGGCCCTCAGGGCCCCACTTTTAGCATATTATATTGTTAAAGTCCAAGCATATTTTGAACTAAACCAAATAACAACAATGTACCATTTAGAACAGTATTTGAGTTTTGGAATCACTGAGTTTAGAGCTAAATCTGAACATTTCTTGGCTCGCTTGATTTGAACTGCAGACAAAATATATTCTCGCAGTCTAGCAGACTGAGAGGACATCTGAAAGCTGGAGTAGACAACCATCTACAAAAAAAAGATTTGGGTTACTGACAGAAAAAAGCAGACTATGTCAAAAGAAAATACATTAAAAGACACTTCAACAATGCATAAGTGTCAAAGTCTACACACTCAACTTTATTGTCATTACACTCTTACAAGTACAAAGCAAAGGAAATGAACTCTCTGAATTTAATTAATCCCCTTGGGGAGCATCGGGCTGCCATTGTGTGGCACCAGTGGAGCAGTGTGGGGTTAAGGGTCTTGCTCAGGAACCCAGAGTTGCAGTTCGTGGGGGCGGGGCTTGAGCTCAGAACCTCAGGGATCCAAGCACAAAGCTCTAACCACTACGCCACCACTCCCCCTATACAACCTTCAATAGAATAATGATGATTCATTTCCATTATTCCTTTTATATTTCCCAACTAAAATGTCCTTCTCCACCTGAATCCATCTAGAAGTGCTATACAGGGTATAAATATTTATTTACATGTGTACAGAGACTCTGTATGTAAGGACTATAAATGTTATATATAAAATACTATAATATCAGCTGCTGTAAAGCTCTACTGTAATCAATGTGTTGTGTTTGCAGACTTGGATACCCAGGATGTGATTGTGATTGTTCTGGCTGTTAGTGTCGTGGTGGTGACAGCCATCGCCCTCATCTTCTACAGGTAAACACAACAAACTTTTAACAGTGACAGTTATACCCTTCATGCTTCTCTTTCTGCCAGCATATAAGCAAAATGCAGGAAGTTATATGGAATTTAAACTAGAAAGAAATGCAGTGTAGTTTCACTGAGAGCATGTAAAATAGTCTCCTTCCTTATTTACTCTAAACGGGTTGGAGCAATCACAAACTAAAGACAGGTAAGTTAAATATTTTTATCAGAAACTTGTATGCTTTCCTGATTTTTAATGCCGCTCTGAGTAACTACTAATAAGCCTGAAAGAGGAGAAGCAGAAACTCCACAGCTATAATTTAAGATGATTTTTATAAAGACATTTTATGATTGCATTCCACTTGACTTACTTAAGTAATCTGCTCTATCTGTGTTCAATGACTGTAAATGCTGCCAGACAGAACAGGAAGGAGCGTCTAATGCAGAGGAAGTGGTCCCACATCGATGCACACCTGATTGGACCTCTTGATGAGAAAGAGGTCTCTCTGAAGGTCAGAACTGTCATTGATTAACATGCTCTACAATATTGTTTTTTTAATAAGATTAAAAGAGACAATATAACAGCAGAAAATCAAAGTTGGATCATGGAATAAAACCCAGTGTCAATTTGCTCTTTATTGCTCTTTATTCCTAGAAAATAAATAAGTGGAAAATTAAGCCTAATGAGAACAACTGACCATCAGCCACATTTTTACTCCTGACTGAATGTAGCACAATCGGTGTCTGCAGCTTGCAGCTCATGTATCACTGCCACATACAGGAATCAGTGCAAATATGATTTGCCTGTTTGAATTCAGCACTGTGGTTTTAATAGTGCTGTGATAATGTCTTTCTTTTGTTAATCTGTTCATCTTATGCTGTTCATTTAAAGGATTTTAAGAAAATATTCATGATTAACAACTTAATGAGGCAAAACTAAAAACTTACGTTAAGTTTTAACATTCAGATTAACAATATATATATTTTTCTAATGGAGCTATTACAGATAGATGGAGTGCTGAAGATATTCTGGGTTAAAAAGTTATGAGCACCCTTTGAACTTCATATCTAAAACCTGCTTGAATGAGGCTTTAGAGTGAGCTATCTGGAAGGAAAAGGACATGTTTGTGTTTGTGGGACAGATCGATGACGATAAGAGGAAGGATAGCACATACTTCAGACAGCGAGGCTGCTACGACAAGAAGGTACATTTGTTCCTGCTCCCAAAAATCAATAACAGAGCACAGACATTCAGAGTGATAACCAAGTTCAGCTGATTTACTATGTATGTTAATTACCCCCCACCCCCCGCCACACACACAGCCTGTGATCCTGAAAGAGCTGAAACATGCAGATGGGGATTTCACAAAGGAACAGAAAATTGAGCTCAACACTGTGAGACGCTTTGTATTTTATTTCCAATAAACTCCAGCTGTAGTATTTACATCGGTGGTTTATATTTATGTATATTCTGCTCTTCCACACCTTTTTCTTGCAGCTGCTGCGGATTGATTACTACAATCTAACCAAATTTTACGGCACTGTGAAGTTTGAGTACGGGCTCTTTGGGGTGTTTGAGCTGTGCCAGAGGGGGTCCCTCAGGGTAAGATCAGATCTCAATGTGTCTCTGTTTGAGCTTTTTAATCCAGCTGCTGTCTGTCCCATGGTTTGCTTGTTTTCTAATGCAGGACTGGTTATCCAAACCTAAAATACACAATCAACATCATTTTTTCAGAGTAAATTATGTAAAAGTAAAAATGTAAAAGAGATATAAAATACCTTACAATAAATTTGACTATGCTGATATTTCAGAGTTATGATCTTTTATTTTCAATTCAAAAATAGGGATTATGTTCTGCAGGTAAAGATTAATTTATTTTGGGAGCTTTTAACCCTTTATAGGGCACTCAGTAAATACTTTGAAAATCAAAATTTTTTAGCCAAAAGTGTTATTGGAACATTTAAAAAAATATGTTTATTGCAAAAATGAATGTCAATGAAATAACAAGAAACGTCAACCTACCCAAATATATTTAAAAAAATAACAAAAGCGCTTCTATAAGAAATTAATGAAAAACACTCTGAGAGTGAAAGAAACATATTTTATTGCCACAACATAATCTTAGACGCATTATTGCTGATACTGGCACTCACATTTTTTAGATTATAAACCTAAATATAATTGTTAACTAGGCTTATTAACTTTTAACTTCACTTTTTAACTTTTCAGTTACCTTTTTTTTCTTGACTTACCTTTTTTTCCCCAACTTAATTTACAATAGGAAATGTATCATTGTAGGGCTGATGTATTTGTTCAAATGCCCAAATGAGATGCACAGCCATGTAGCAGTATCTTTGCTGAATGGCTGGATATAGATCTTGGGCTTCTAGGCCTCACTGAGGAACGGGGGAGACTCAATTTTTAAGGGAATGCAAATGATCAAACACTGTAACTTAGGGATTAATATTTTACTAAGATGGCCACCTAATTTAGCCTATTTTCTGCATATTTGACCACATCCACCCTAGAAATCTAATTAAATTCTAATTTAATGATGGGATTGTTTACTATCTACTCCTAATGTCAAAAAAGCATTGCAGCAACCATTATTTCTATCAAATAGTCGCTCCGATTTCCTTTTATGAAACCTGACACAGAAGCTGTTGATGACAAATCTCAGTAGTCCTTTTTTTCACACTGCCCCTAATGACTCTACTGTCTTCTTGATGATTTATGACACACTGTTTACAGAGCACTAATAGCGCACGCGTAAATGCACATAATCCTATGTTTGCACACAGGAACAGACACATAAAGAGTGTATGTTAAGTGTTCCACTTTTCCATACCACTAATAAAGCAGAGCGATCAAAGCCATAAGATATTAATGTAATTTGCTTTTTCCTCTCTCTCTCTTTTTTTTTCTTTATTTAGTACATTCTCAGTGACAGGATTTCCTACCCAGATGAAACCTTCTTGGATATGGAGTTTAAGATATCAGTCATGTACGACATAGCAAAGGTAACTTTGTTATAATTGCAACTTTAAAAAAGGCTATTGTATCATTTATTTTTTCACGTTAAAGTAACAACTTGGAGGGTATAAAATAGTTTGCAGTTTTTTCACATTGTGTTACATTTTAACCTTTAAGTTTCACCTTTATCTTATCTGCATTTAATGGGAGACATAAAGGCAAAGTAGCGCAAGCGCCAAATTTTTCGATTTCTGTAACTTCTGCTCCTGCTAAAGAAAAGCCTCCCCTTAGCATGCTGCAGCCAACACTGTGCTCGGTTGTGGGGATATTACATTCAGCTTTATTGTTTGCTGCATTCTTTTGTCTTTGTGATGCTATTTATTTTTTAACTTTGTCAAACAAACATTTTATGACTTAACAGAACGTCTGTATTTTGTTTTGAATACACTCTGTATACAGAATGATAATAAAAGTTGTCTAACTCTCAGTCTAAGGATTTATGATGAAATTAAAACAAACACAGGTCGACCCTACTAACCAGCTGGGTGACTTCTTAATGGTTTATTTGCTCTTTATTCATGAGTATAAAAGTAAAATGGTCTAAAAATGATGAGCTATACACATTTTTTGCATTTCACTGCAGCTAAAACATATAATTCAAATATTAGATGTTAAGGTTTGGGGAAATAAGGTGTCAAAAAGTGAAAAATATTTATTAATCCTTGTAGCAAAGCTCTGTAACACTAAATGGCAACTCTTTTTAACACCCATCCTTTAAATGTTTTGCTCTAAACTGTCTCCAAAGGGCATGTCGTATCTCCACTCCAGTAATATTGCAGTCCACGGTCGCCTCAAGTCCACCAACTGTGTGGTCGATAACCGCATGGTGGTCAAGATCACAGACTTTGGCTGCCACTCCATTCTAATGCCAGGCAGAGGTGATTATTCCCAGGAATGATCATGCATCCTACAGTAAAGCTGAGATGATGAGGAGACACTGAGCGTCTGTTTATCTCTCCTGTCCAGATCTGTGGACAGCTCCGGAACATCTCCGTAAACAGGGTGTGTCACAGAAAGGTGACGTTTACAGCTACGGCATCATCGCACATGAGATCGTCCTGAGGCAGACCCCGTTCTATACCAGGTGCTGCTCCAACACTGCAGGTACACCATCGCTAAAAGGCTCCTGACAAGTGAGAGAGAAACATCAACTGTCTCTATTTGAGAAAATACGTAATTCAACTTTTTTTTTCTGCAAACCTTTTATTATCATTTATTATCCGGGTTCAGAGAAAATGCACAGAGTACAGTATCCAAGAGGTAACTTCTTCTTCAGACCTGACCTCTGCTTTGAGGGTGCATCTGACAGAGAAATCGAGGTAAATAATCTATAACACTGACATACTTGTATTTCATATATCTATTCATATATACAGGTGCTGGTCATAAAATTAGAATATCATGAAAAAGTAGATTGATTTCAGTAATTCCATTTAAAAAGTGAAACTTGTATATTATATTCATACATTACATACAAACTCATATATTTCAGATGTTTATTTTGTTTAATTTTGATGATTACAAATGACAAGAAATGAAAATCTCAAATTCATCATATCAGAAAATTAGAATATTGTGAAAAGGTTCAAAATTGATGGCCCCTGGTGCCACACTCTAATCAGCTAATTAACTCAAACCACCTGCAAAAGCCTTTAAATGGTCTTTCAGTCTAGTTCTATAGGCTACACAATCATGGGGAAGACTGCTGACTTGACAGTTGTCCAAAAGACGACCATCGACACCTTGCACAAGGAGGGCAAGACACAAAAGGTCATCGCTAAAGAGGCTGGCTGTTCACAGAGCTCAGTGTCCAAGCACATTAATAGAGAGGCGAAGGGAAGGAAAAGATGTGGTCGAAAAAAGTGTACAAGCAAGAGAGATAACCGCACCCTGGAGAGGATTGTGAAACAAAACCCATTCAAAAATGTGGGGGAGATTCACAAAGAGTGGACTGCAGCTGGAGTGAGTGCTTCAAGAACCACCACACACAGACGTATGAAAGACATGGGTTTCTGCTGTCGCATTCCTTGTGTCAAGCCACTCTTGAACCACAGACAGCGTCAGAAGCGTCTTGCCTGGGCTAAAGAGAAACAGGACTGGACTGCTGGTGAGTGGTCCAAAGTCATGTTCTCTGATGAAAGTAAATTTTGCATTTCCTTTGGAAATCAAGGTCCCAGAGTCTGGAGGAAAAGAAGAGAGGCACTTCATCCACGTTGCTTGAAGTCCAGTGTAAAGTTTCCACAGTCAGTGATGGTTTGGGGTGCCATGTCATCTGCTGGTGTTGGTCCATTGTGTTTTCTGAGGTCCAGGGTCAACGCAGCCACATACCAGGAAGTTTTAGAGCACTTCATGCTTCCTGCAGCTGACCAACTTTTTGGAGATGCAGATTTCATTTTCCAACAGGACTTGGCACCTGCACACAGTGCCAAAGCTACCAGTACCTGGTTGAAGGACCATGGTATCCCTGTTCTTAATTGGCCAGCAAACTCTCCTGACCTTAACCCCATAGAAAATCTATGGGGTATTGTGAAGAAGAAGATGCAATACACCAGACCCAACAATTCAGAAGAGCTAAAAGCCACTATTAGAGCAACCTGGGCTATCATAACACCTGAGCAGTGCCACAGACTGATCGACTCCATGCCACGCCGCATTGCTGCAGTAATACAGGCCAAAGGAGGCCCAACTAAATACTGAGTGCTGTACATGCTCATACTTTTCATGTTCATACTTTTCAGTTGGCCAACATTTCTATAAATCCTTTGTTTTTATTGGTCTTCAGTAATATTCTAATTTTCTGATATGATGAATTTGAGATTTTCATTTGTTGTCATTTGTAATCATCAAAATTAAACAAAATAAACATCTGAAATATATGAGTTTGTATGTAATGTATGAATATAATATACAAGTTTCACTTTTTAAATGGAATTACTGAAATCAATCTACTTTTTCATGATATTCTAATTTTATGACCAGCACCTGTATATATATATATATATATATATATATATATATATATATATATATATATATATCACGAAATGATCCATCGCTTGGCAAGATCATAAGTACCTCATTCATTAGAATATTTTTGTAGAGGTCAAAACTAATACGAGCTTCACTATGAAGTTTTTTTGGGTATTACATTTTCTGGAATGAAAGAATTAGTTCAATTCAATTTAGATTTTCTTGCTATACATTATATTTAGGATTTGGCCTTGTCTGGGTCAATCTAGTACTTGAATAAGCTTTGATCTAGCCCATTTTTATCATGTCTCTGACTGCTTAACATTTTCCTGTTCAAAGGTAGACCTGCACCTCAGCTTCAACTATTTTTAGCCTTTAATAGGTTTTTAGCTCCATTCATTTTTCTATCAACCAACTTCCTTAGTGCTAAAGGAAACCATCCCCACAGCATCATACTGCCACCGCTACTGTTTTTGCATTTCCGACAAACAAAGAGACATTTTGGGTTAATCTGACCAGAGAACCTTGTTGTACATGTTTGGCGATAATCTTTTGTGACAAGCTTCAAATAGGCTTATTTTTAAGGTTTATTTTTATAACAAAAGTCAGTAGAGAGACAACTGAAAGTTCTTTATATGACTTAAAATTTAAAGTAGAAGTAAAATAAAAGCATAATAAAAGCAAGTAAAAATAACATGATAAAAGCAGGTAGAGAAGTAAATAAAACATTTTTGTCATCTGGTGTGAGCAGAACCAATTGCAGCTGAATATGGCAAAGCCCAAGGAACTGGTGGTGGATCTAAAAAGAAATAAGTTCCCAGTGACCCCTGTTTCTATCTGTGGGGTCAACGTAGACACTGGGAAGGATTATAAATATTTAGGGGTGCACTTGGACAATAAACTGGACTAAAAGCACAAATGTATCTGCAGGAAGGGCCAGAGCCGTCTCTATTCTCTGAGGTGACTGAGGTTCTTCAACATCTGCTGGACAATGCTGCAGATGTTTTATGAGTCTGTGGTGGCCAGTGCCATCCTTTAAGCTTTTGCATGCTGGGGCAGCAGACTGATGCCAACAGACTTAACAAACTCATCTGCAAGGCCAGTCACGTTGTTGGAGAGGAGCTTAAATCTCTTAACCGGACAACAGCCAGATGCATGTCTCGCTCCGCCCAGCTCCACTCACATGTGAGTGGAGCTGGGCGGAGTGAGACATGCATCTGGCTGTTGTCAGGTTATAAATCTCTGACAGAAGTGTCAGAGAGGAGAATGTTGGCCAGGATAAAATCCATGCTTCATGATGTGCTGGTCGCCCACAGAAACATCTTCAGTCAGAGACTCATTCCATAATGCTGCATCACAGGATGTTAATTTATGCCTGTGGTCATAAAACTGTATAATTCATCTCTCTGACAGTCATTTAATTAATTACTTATATTTTATTTATTTCATTACATCACTATATGTAATAATTGTAATTTTGTACAGAGCAGCATTTGAAATTGTAAATACTGTTGGTTGTATATACTGTGATCCTTATCTTATTCTTATCCTTTTTTTTTCATAACTTATTTCTACTTATATAATTCTCTCTTAAGTAAACGGCTGCACTGCAAGAAAACTTTTTTCCCGCAATCACAAATAAAGTAATTCTGATTATGAAAACAGTTTGATCACAACGTTAAACTAATAATCCCTCAGTTAGCAGCTTAACCTCAACAATCAACTGCAGCTCTGGACATTTTTAAGTTTGACTCAAATGAACTCAGGCTTTTAGCACTTTTATAGCCTTCTGGAACTTTGTTCCAGATAAGTGGGGCATAGGAACCAAATGCTGCTTCTCCATGTTTGGTTCTAGTTCTGGGTGGACCAAGTAGACTGGAACTAGAAGACCTGTGCAGTCTGGGAGGTTGATACACTGACAACAAATCTATTTATAGATCTATTTATATCTAATTATGTATTGAGATGCTGATCCATTCAGTAAGTGATACACTAACAGAAGGATTTCCAAGTCTAATCTCTGAGCTACAGGGAGCCAGTGGAAGGACTTCAGAGCTGGCTGATGTACTCTACTTTCTTAGTGCTAGTGAGAACACAGGCAGCAGCATTTTGGATCACCTGCAGCTGTCTGGACTTTTTAGGCAAACCTATGAAGACACTGTTGCAGTAATCAATACTACTAAATATAAATGCTTGGATTACTATTTCTAGATCCTGATTGAACATTAATCCATTAATCCTGGAAATGTTCCAGGTGATAAAAGGCAGACTTAATAACTGCCCTTATATGATTCTGAAGGTTCAGGTCTGAGTCCATCATGACACCAAGATTTTAGCCAAATCAGTGGGTTCCAGCTTTTCTCCGTTTCTCAGCATCTAACCAACACTCTGATGGGTTCATAGACAGCTGGTGATATTGTGGTGTAGATATTCCTATGGGTTTCCTCTTATAGTGAATTAAGTTCCATGCTCTCCTTCAGAGGGGATCCTTTTCATAATAAGACTTTATTGAATAATTAGGAGACATTTGAAAAAGTCTAGTTTCACTGGAATTTATTTAATAGTATCAAAGTAAACTAAACACCTTTAAACTTCCTTCAGCTTCATAATTATTTGCTATCGCTTGTTGGGCTATTATAAAAAAATCCTAATGAAATAAATAGAGATGCGTGGGTGTAATGTGACAAAGGTTCAAAGGTATTTATAATCTTGCCAGGCATTGTAAATGTTATAAAAACAGACTATCTCTACCAGTTACAGCTAAATAATTGACCCATCTCCTATTTTTTGACTCCTATGTGCAAACAGCTTTACACACTGATAAAGAACTGCTGGGATGAAGACCCTGAGCGAAGGCCAGATTTCAAGAAGATAGAGTTAACGCTTGGAAAGATTTTCAGGTAGATCAACACGTCTTATAATGCACCTTTTATATAACTTCTAAAACTTTTAACATGGCTGAAGGTAGACAGTGTGAAGTTCAGAAGTTATTTATGTATTTTTTTACCGTCATTATGAAATTATCATTTTGTTTTTCGCTCCACAGTAATTTGCACAATCAAGTTACTGAAACATACATGGACAATCTGATCCGTCGTCTGCAGATGTACTCCAGGACTTTGGAGTGTTTGGTTGAGGAGAGAACGGCTCTGTACAAAGCTGAGAGGGATAGAGCGGATCGCCTCAACTTCATGCTGCTGCCTGGGTTTGTTGAATCAATAGAAGCAGGTTTCAAACGGTTTCAAAGCTTCAAAAAATTACTTTTTGTTACATTTGCTATTATTTACTTTGACTCATATTACTTGGAGATGAAAGAAAGTATCTATGCTACAACAAGAGGTGGTAAGATTAACCAAAAATTGTACCCAAGTAAGAGTAGCATTACTTTTCATATTTTTACTCCAGTAATAGTAAAAAGCAGCTATCTAAGAAATTACTAAAATAAGACTAAAAAAGTATTTGGTGAAAAAGGCTACTCAAGTACAAGTTAAAAATCTAAACTAACTAATGATTGCTTTTAAAGATCTGTAATTTTAAAAATATTGTAAATTTATGCGGCATATAAAGTTATATGTAAATTCCATTAAATGAGATAAATAGAAAATAAAAATATAAAGTAAAGTAATAATACAAAGATAAGATTTTAGATGATAGAAACATTTATTATTTATGCATATAGTTTAGAATAGTAAACATTGCATTATTTCATCTTGACCTCTAAATAAGACAGCAATGTCAGCAGATAGAAAATAATATTAAAACATAAACTGTGTGTCTCTCTGATGCATCTTTGTTTAAAACTTGCTTGTTTTTCACTGAGCAAAGTGACATATGGTGTTTGGAGCAGCGAGAAATGTTCATATTATTTAGAATATTTTTAACTCTAGTAAAAGTAAAATGCCGCTTTTTAAAAAACTCAAACAACTCTAGCTATTTGCTAACCACTGCTGGTTAACACTCAGAATTCACAAATATTTCTGTACAGTGAAACTTTCCGTTAATAACATCGCAGCAGCGGTTACTTGAAATGATTTAGTGACTGATCTTAGATCAGATCAATTGAACAATTTAGCAGTATTATCCTAAACTGTAGTTCTTTGGTCACTTTGGTCACTTCCTCCCTATTCTAAAAACCTATAAAAGCACCAGTCAAGCTTGAATGTGAATGTCATAATGTATGTTTTCCTTTCTCTGTGTTCCCCTAGTCCTGTGGTGCGCTCCCTGAAGGAGACGGGCAGAGTGGAGCCCGAGCTGTTTGAGGAAGTGACCATCTATTTCAGTGACATAGTGGGCTTCACCACCCTCTGCCACTACAGCACCCCCATGGAGGTGGTAGACATGCTGAATGAGATCTACAAGAACTTTGATAGCATTCTGGATCACCACGATGTATACAAGGTATCTCAGGGTAACTAGAAGAGCTTAATGAGAAGTACCAGCATAGGTGGAAGCTTATATGTTCCTGCTCCTGCTTGCTGTACTTCTGTTAGTCACAGGCTTTCTAAGATGATAAGGTCTAAATTAAATTAGCAGCACAGCCTGATTTATTAATAGTTGTCATGTAGGTTGAGTGAAATTTTCCGTTTTTCTTAGGTTGAGACCATAGGGGACGCCTACATGGTTGCATCAGGGTTGCCGAACCGAAATGGAAACAGGCACGCAGTAGACATCGCTCACATGGCCCTAGACATCCTGTCATTTGTGGGGACTTTTGAGCTCCAGCATCTGCCAGGGATTCCTCTGTGGATCCGCATCGGAGTACATTCAGGTACTAAATATTCGGGACTTCCTCCAACCCACTGAGCTAAACTAACTGCCTACAACAACTACAACTGTTGTTCCTTTAGAACAGGAGTCTCTTAGTTCTGGTTCCTTCTTCCTCATTGCAACTTATACCTCACAGCTAAATGTGTTCCCTGCATTAAACTATCCCGCTGAAGAGCAGTGGGATGGCTCTGTGCTGCACCCAGGGTGCATTCTGGGGCTAAAGGTCCTATTTGGGACTCTGAGTGGAAGAACAGTCAGTGAGTGACACTGAGAACACTGGAGTTTGGTAAAAAAGAGCAAAAAATGGCACACGAGTAAAACAAGCACACAATTCTGACAGAAGCAATTATACAAACTAATGTTAAAACAGTGGTCTGGTTCTGACTTCTTACACTGTAATGTAAACTAATCATGGGTGTGTTCCGAATTGTTATCACCAAAAAGATACTTTAGTACCTCATAGCATTCTGACATATCAAAGGCTTCAGGATCATAAAATATTTGTTGAAGCCTCAGGACTCCTATTATGTGGCTTAATATAATAGTCCAGTGATAGGCTTTGATGAAAGCAGTTAAAGGTGAATGAAGGATCTAATTTGGGATGTTCTATTCACAGCTGGCTTATCAACGTATCTCCACTGTAATTGATTCTATAAAAAGCTGAAGATAATACCATTTGACAGACATAAAAATTATTGTAGCAACAAAAATATGATTCCCAAACATGTATTAAGCTAATGCCTGGCACACACCAGATGATCAACTAAAGGAGGCGTTCTTGTGAAAAACATTTGCTGCTTTGTTCTCTGTTATAAAACACTTTCTCTGTTTTTCTGCTTCATATGTTATTGTGCTGTCAGTACTTAGAGTTTTTTTTTTCTTTCCATTATTTAAAGTTCCTCATTCACTTAGGCCAAAAAACAGAGGCTCTAAAGTTTTTCAAATCATTATAAGAATGTCCGGTTTGTATTATGGATATTAGATTAATATAATGCTTTGGTTTCCTCTCTGGGAAGTTGCTGACATCTGCTGGCTGAATATAACATGTTTTATAATCACAACCGGAATGAGTATAAGAAGAAATTAGCAAAATGTCTCATTATATAATCCAGCAGAAAAACACAGATATAGCTGCAACTAATCCAACAGAATGTGCTCCTGAGATTAGTTGATTATCTTCATATAATATATTGACTATTACAAGTTAATAGACGTTGCTGAATGAGCTTTAAATTCGTCATATCTTCCTCAAATTTAAACATTTTGAATGACTGAGATTCTTTGTAGAAAAAATGTGATAGACCATATAGGCACTTCTTCCAGATCTGGATTTTTTTACATTCCAATCTGGATAATGAAGAAAAACACTAAATAAAAAGAAAAGAAGCAGCGTTGATGGAGGGATAAGTCCACGATTCAACGGTCCTGGGTTTGAATCCCAGCCTGTTGACCTTTGCTGGATGTTTTCCCCCTCTATCTTTATTTGTTCAAATAACGCTCATTAATGCAAAAAAACAAAAACAAACAAATAAGACACCTTGGAATTATAAAGTGTCCAGAAGTAACGTTTAAAAACACTTAAAGGTATAATGGAGGATTTTTGCAAATTTTTGAAAAGACACGCCGTCTCCACTTAAAAAAAAAAAAAAAAAAAAAAAAAAAAAGAAGCCTGAGGGAACACCTATTAAACACGTCTGTTTAACAGTACAAGCTTACTTTGCAAAAGAAGATTTGCAATTTTTCCGCTATGTCAGACTCACCATCGGTAAGTGAAAATGGGGATGAGCACGTAGGACGGCCTTACGTAAACATATCACCAGGATGATATACTGTACAATTAGGAGGACCATTTATTATGATGATCCATCTAAAAAAATCACATCCTCCACTATACCTTTTAAAAGATGAAATAATGATTGGAAATGAGTGACTGAACAATGAGAAACAGTTGAAATCCAAATGCAGGTGCAGTTGGCTGATGATTTTTGCAGTTAGGAGAGCTGGAACCAAGGTGAATCTAAAAGTAAGGAGCGTCTGACCCACCTGCTGGGGCCTCTCTTCCTTTCCTAGGCTGCTTTCTGTCATTAGGCCCTAGAGTGTTTCTGTGTTTAATTCTTCACTTCTTCCCTAAGCTTCCCTAATCTTAAAACAGATTATCAGAAAATCCTACCTCTGTTTATATATCAAATCTTGGATTAGTATCATCTTAACAACTCTGAACCTTTTACCCCGCCACCACGCCTCACTGATAAGTTCAACATAAATAAATAGCTTGTTTATTTGGGTCCAGGTCCTTGTGCGGCCGGAGTGGTTGGAAATAAGATGCCTCGCTACTGTCTGTTTGGAGACACGGTAAACACGGCTTCTCGCATGGAGTCTACAGGCCTGCGTAAGACCAAACACACAAGAAAACATCCTGCATTGGAATTGCAGATTAAGCTTCCAGTTTCAGAGAGAAACAGGACTCTAAATCTGATGACAGGTTTGCTTTTTCTCTTCCAGCTCTGAGGATTCATGTGAGCCAGCCTACAATCAACATCCTGCAGAGGACAGACTGCAAGTTTGAGTATGAAAAAAGAGGCGAGACATATCTGAAGGTGAGGGGATGTTCTTCTTTTATGGTAGGTCCACAATGGGAACCAAGGATTGGATGAAAACTAGTGGCTTGTTTTGCGTTTACTAATTCACAGGGAAAAGGCAAAGAGATGACCTACTGGTTAACTGGTGTGACAGGAGGAAAACACAACCTTCCCGTCCCACCAACAGCGTGAGTCCAGTCTCATTTTAAAGTATAAAAATCATTCATAAAAGTGACAAGAATGTGATCCACAATGATCTCAATGTTTCTGTCAGGGAGAATTTCCAGCGGCTTCAACAGGAACTGGCAGACATGATCGTATCCAGTCTGGAGAAACACCGAGCTGGAAAAGAGGGCTTTGAAAAGAGGAAGACGTTGTCCACCAGAGTCCGTTGGAGAGACACTAATGGCAGCCTGCCGAAGGACAGCCCACCGGAGTACTTCCACCTGGCTGTCACCGACAATCCCGGCACGTTCCTGTAACAGCAGCACTTGAAAGACTTTAAGGACACTGTTAGGGAGTAGCTCCACTCTAACACTGTTAGGGTTCATGGTGAGATAATCTCTTCATCATTTGGGTGCTCTTTCTCACCAGGTTACTTTCCCCCACGGTTTGATTTGGTTAGAAGAGCATCAGCTTCACCTTTTTCTTGTAAGATCCTCCAAGCTGGGGGAAATATTTCACTCCAAAGACGCATTTGTAGAATACGGTTAACTATTTTTTCTGGATTGTGCCAATGCTTAGCATGCAATTCATGTTGTAATTATTCTTGAGCTTCAAGTAATCAGAGAAACTGAAGTCACTTTTCTGCAAAGAAATGTGGGAAAAGTGAAGACAGAGAATGTATTTTTATGTTTACTTTTAATATGTAATTCCTTTATGTTGCTTAGAGGAAACTCATTCATTGCAAAGTGTGACACATTATTTACCATGTAAATAACCTTTATTTGCAGTGAATGAGAGGAACTACATTTTCATGTTAATTTAAAAGCTAAACTTACAGCGGGCACAGTTCCAGTCGGATGTTTACCTAGTCTTCATTTTCATGAATGTATTTTTTTTGTAACCCCCCACAAAGCTTTTGGCATAACTCTAAAGTATGCTGAATATTCGACCACTCCTTTCAGCAGAATATGCAGATTACAGTTTAACTGGTTGATTTTTGGCTCTGATAACCAGTGGTGTAGCTGTTTATGCCCCAAGAATATGTTAAGGTGGTCCTACCGTACATCTTTCATTATTGCATGTAGGGCTGGGTAATTAATTGCATTTAAAATACAATTGCATTTTAGAAAAATGCAACTTTCAAATCGCTGAGACACTCAGGTTTGATCAAGAAACAATTTTTTTTCTCGCTTTAGCTATTTTAGTGACGGTAATAGGTTTAAAGTGGGTTTGCTTCCATGAAAAAGAAAAGAAACTTCCAGCTAGCACATAGAGATCTAAGCATGCAAATAGAAGTAAGCACATTTGCAAAATTGACAGCAATGTACTCTGGACAAGCAAGCTAGTAATGGCAAAACCATTCAGCTCTGATTGCATGGACTAAGTGTCAAAAACAGTCCCATGGCATAACGCTGCCACCACCATTCTTGACAGTAGGAATAGTGTTTCAAAGCATCACTGGAATCTCCTAAATATATTCCTTCTCATGGAGATCAAATAGGTCAATGTCTGCCTCATCTAACCATAAAGCTTTCTTTCTGGAGGGTTTTGGCTTTTCAACATTTGCATGTGGAAACCTTACAGGTAGAAAGAGTCAATCTTGGAGCACATTCTGGTGGTTGTCCCCTCAGTCTATTGATGTTAGTTTGTTTCTTTGTGGACAGGCACACATGTCTTCAAACAGTTTGCAACTCATAGCAAGCCTAAAGGTTATTGGTTTGTTGTCACCGTTCTTTAATATGGAAGCAGCAATTTAAATATTTTCCTATCCATCCTCAACCCCTTGATGCCTATTGTTGCAAATATGCGACCAACCGTATGTATCACTCATACAGCCAAAATAGCCAGTGCATTCTGCCGTTAGGAGTTATCTCACATCAGTGTGGGCCTAGGAACCTTTGGAAAGCACTTGTTTCTGGTGTGACTGGTCCCTGAAGCTGTATGTTGACCTTGACAGTTATAACGGCTGCCAGATGTTTGCAATATACCATATATCCATTTCTTTCTGCACAGTAGTCAAAGTCACCAGCTCACGTTGGCAACTAAAAGCAAAAAAAGGTTATATCTGCATGCATATAAATTTGGACATTAAGAGGTTAAAAGCTGGTTCAGTTTAACCAAACAAACCAATTTTACTGAACTCTGTCATTTCTGCCAAGAGAAGTGGTTGAATAATCAGCCAGAGTTATATTAGTAGCTTAATGATGGCTCTAAAACATATGTTGCAATGGTGCAGCTATCTGAGGGTAATTTATTCAAATATTAGTGAGGGTCTATATATATTTGAGCCTAAATGTGTAATTTTGACAATGTGTGGATTAGAGAAAATTCATACCAGAAATAATAAACTTTATCAGTTGCTTCAAAAATGAAGGCATCCAGTTTCAATTTTCCAATCTATGAAAGCATCGCAGAAACAACCAACATCACCATGACAACCATGAGGAGGGCACGAAAATGTCTGCTTTAATCTATAAATGATATAAAAATAAAAACAAAGCAACAAAATCACCCATCCACTCCAATATTACATACTGTAAAGTTAACGGAATCTCTCAAACACATTTCACGTAAACTTTTGCTATAAAAGGCCATGCGAGGCCATGTCATGGCAAAACACCGCTACCTTGGTTTTAAACCATTTGCAATGTTCTTGTGCTGATTTATATTTTGTGTTATAATAAATGTAGCAGAAAAAAAACTGTTTTATGTTGATGAATGTTTTATTCAAGCTTCAGCAGCTTGAACACTAAAATACAATTTTCAAACATTACAGCAATACAAAAAGTGATATACAGTTTAGATATTATAAAAAAAACATAAGATTAAGGCAATTAACATAAAAATGTTAATAATGTAGGAAAACACAACAGCTCTTTGCTATCAAATCCCCTAAAGCAGTGATTCCCAACCAGAGGTACTCATACTCCTAGTGGTTTGGAAGGGCATTGCAAGGGGTACATTAAAATATTTTATTAAATTTTTTTTTTTTTTTTTATTGTAAAAAAAGTAAGTTATTCTTTTTTGCAAGCAGAGGAACAGACTGGATGTAGAGAACAACCTAATATTAGCTGTTTTCCACACTGAGCTATCAGAGCTCATCAAAGCAGCTCAGGTGTCTTGATGAAAACAAAGGAAAACTAATTCAAATCCATCTGACTACATTTTTTCTTATTATTTTGTTCCCATTTTATCAAGTTTAGATGTTATTTTAAGGGTGTTACTCTAGATACAGCTTTATGATAGGATTTTATTTTGTATTTATTTCGATTCCTCACTAACTTCCAGGTAACATATTTATGTTGTTTTTTTATTTGAGATGGAAAGCATAAAAAAAGCCTAAGAATTAAATGCTTATGGTAAAAGTTTGAGTAAAAATAATTTGTATTTTATAATTACTTCGTAGTACGTTTCACTTTTGGATGATCATCAGTAATTTTGACTGAGAGGGGTACCTACTAAATGCCGGGGTGCACAAGTCAAAAAAATGTTTGGAAACGCTGCCCTAAAGCATCATATTTTACATAAATGCCCAGTGACTGTAAATAGATTTATAGTCACAGCACTGTTAGCGTACTGTACATATGTAGCCTACTCAGCTCTACACAGTTTTAGTGGTAACTAAGGCAGTGCCTCCCAGCTCTGTAGCAGGAAGTGGGACTCTGTGGTCTGCCACGCTGCTGCATGAAGGCAGCCCTTCGCTGCCATCCCTACAGCCATCCCTCGCTGCGTCAGGGCAAATGCTGAAGCCGTCCTCCCACTTGGGGTCCATCTGGGTTCCAAGGTGCAACTGATGACAGGATGAGTGTCCGTTTGCCTCTCTTTGAAGGGCCTGACCGTTTCTGTCTGAGTGGGTAGGGTGATACATGGCATTTGCTTCTGCTGTCTGAAGAGTCTCTAGTTCAGGGAGAGGATCCTCTGCAACCCAAAAATAATGATGGAGTATTTTTACATGCTACATACCGTTCTGAATGCCGGACTGCAAAAACAAACTTCAATGTATTATTTTGGAATGTATAACAAACTGTACCGAAACCATAACTGGTATACTTTTTATTTTTTTAAAAGAGAGAAAATACATTTTGTAGTTTTATTTAGCGCCTATAGTTAATCCTTAGTGGAACCAGATTTCTTATCTTGGATATCACTACCAGCTTTGCATATCTTACATTCTGTCCATTCTCTACAAAGTAGCTTAAGTCAATCACACTAGAGCGAGCGTTCATGCAGACAGGAATTTTCAAGTCATGCCAAAGATTCCTAATTACATTTGAACTGGACTTTGACTAGGACTTTTAGAACATGGCCTTGCAGCTCTGGATGTATGTTAATGGTTTTTGAAATCTCTACAGGGTTTTCCAGAGTTCCTCTTTTGTTCTTAGCTCAACCCATCTGGTCTATTCAGCTTCCATCTCTCTAGTGAAGAACAGCCTTACCATCACAGAATGATGCTACCACTTCCATGTTTCACCATGAGGATGCTGAGTTTGCAGCGTTGGTTTCTCACCACACAATGTTTTGCATGTAGGCCAAAGTAAATCAGTTTTGGTCTGTCACAAAACTTTTCTACAAAAGCAAGATTTCTGGAGTTCACCACTAGTTATTCTGTCCACAATTTCACTCCTCAGTAATGCATGACCCATTGTAACTCTGCAGCTCCTGCAAGTTACCACTTCTGAGATTCATCAATTGCTTAAGGTGTATTTCCGTGTGTTTGTAGGTTTACAGCTGTGTTTCACCATTCTGGAGATGGACTGGACAGTTCTCTCTTAATTGTTCTGGACTTGAATATTGTGGGTTTTTTCCCCTAACCCTGCTTTAAACTCCCTCTCAACTTTCTTCCTTAGCTTTCAGTTGTGTTCTTTGGTCTTCATGTTTTTTAATGACTGACGTCTCCCCAGACCAGCTCTTATTATACTGAGATTAAATAAGTGGATAAACTAAGTGGATTCTACTGTATGTACTACCTACTAGCTGCTCAGAACTCTATCTTTAGGTCAAAAAGTAAGAGGACTGAATACAAAAGCACAACTAACTTTCAGGTTCATAACATTCTTGCAGGATACCTTAAATATATATCTTTTCCCACTCCATCACCTCAGCCAAATGTTACATATACTTTACAGATGCTGAAGGGCTGAATGCATTTTTCTGCATTCCTGTTTGTCTCATGAAGAAAGCTGTTGAGCAAAAGTTTATTCAGTGAGGACAAAAGGATGCTGTATTTGATAGACTGTCTTCTATCTGCTTTCTTGCCATTTCTGGATCATTCAATTAAGCCCACAATTTTATCATACAGTGCCAGATTTGGATGTTTGTGGAATTCTGCAGCTGCTGACTAAGTCACATGAGAGACGCTTCCTTTGTACAGCTGCATTCGTTTGCCCAGATATGCAGACTTTAACCGACTTTTTGCATGCAAGATGGTCTCTCCTTGTAAAATAACTTACATATAGTGAGGGGCCCTAATTTGCCCTGCTGCAAGCAACGGATGTGTGCTGAAACCAGAATAGATGGTAAGGCAGCGCTGCTGACCCATGGGACGCCTCACCAGAACAGACTGTGGAGTTTCTACTATGATGAGCGTCACACTTCATCACCTGCCTGCTTGCCATCTTGTTTCCTCCAGTAGATTCTGAGACCGATACTTAGACCCCTCCCCCCTAGACCTGAAATAAGTTATTGAAAAATATGTGCTGCTAATTAAAAATGCTTTCTAATTTACACATCTACTACTAAAATACAAAAACATATGTATTTTCTTTACATAATTTAATGTGACACTCTCTTTTAGTAGACTTAATCCATCTTGTGCTGAGATTAAACATTTTCTTAAATAATTTTATCTGTTTATTTATTAAAATAAATTTAGGGTTTTCTGTTTATTACCTAATTAGATAAACCATTAGTATTAGAGCTTACCAGTGGCTCCACGGGATTTGGCCTGCCGTCTGAAAATGACAAACCAAAGGGTCAGAGCGAGGATGGATCCCAGGGTGACCACCATCACAGGGATCCAAATTGCCTGACTCAGCACCAACATGTCTGGTGAAACAGTTGACTTGGTGGGGCTGATCTTTGCTGTGAGTGGATCCGGGACAGTCAGGACAGGCTCTGAGGAGATCATGTCACATGTCAAGCATTTCACTTGAGAAGTACAGGATACAAAACAATAAAGGTTCAATGTGACTTACCTGTCGGTGGGTGAAGCTTACGGGTGGGTATACAGGTCTGGAGGAGGTTGTCCCATGACTTTCCGTTTGCACACTTACTATCAGCCATGCCTGCAGCAGGGTAAGAGAACTGCCGCGCTGTACTCCTGTGAACTAGTGACCGAAAAAAAAAAAAAAATCAGAGAAGGCAAATAGATGCAGGAGGGAGATGTGATGCGAGGATTTGTGAAATGAATATAGAAGTCCTAAAAGGTTTCAGTTCCTCCATTTGGTAGGAAAGAGTGAATCACCTCATGTGTCCCCTGGGGAGCAGAGACAGCATGTCGTTAAATATATCAGCCATGTTCTCCCCCTGACACATCTATAAAGAATGGTAACAGAGGCCATTGCATGCTCTGCTATTTTGTTTGTATATTTAAGGTTAACTGCAACAGATTACAGTACAATATATAAAGGATTACAAAGGATATTCATACCAAAGTAATTCTAAAGTTATTTTTTGAAAACAAAATGAAATAACCTGGAATAGTCTGCAGGATTTATTTTAGTTGCTATGGTTTTTCAGTCTCCTGGTACTTTTTTACAGTTATTTGTCTCCAATATTTCTTAATATTCTGTCCAGTGGTTATTTCTCTGCTATGAGCTTTACATCAGTCCTTTTTCCCCCTATTTCTGCCCTGCAATTAGCCATTCTTTCTTAGTTCCCTTTAGTTGACTCATCCTTCCTTACTGCTCGGTTAAGTGATGGGGTGGAGTAATCTTAAGGAAAATAGGGCAAAGTTTAGTTTCAGAGGGCTGGCTTTCCTTTGATGACTACTCTGCAGACATTTATAATTAAAACAGTAAATGAAAATGTGCTGCCCATGCACTGAGGCATTGGTCCTTGACGCAGCCATTACAGGTTCAAGTCTGTTGACCTTTTCTACATGTCTTCCTCCTCCTACTGTACTTTCAAAATTAGATGGTAGCTGTTAGATGTTAAGAATGTGGTAGTGCTACCTTTATTAGTTTAACGATGCTTGATTGCAGTTCAGAAGAGGAGAGATGTTAGACTGGAGCTCAGATAGATTCAAATTCAAAGTTTATTTGTTGCAAATAGTCACTGGGGTCTGCTCTACCACACTGTTGGTAGTTTAATATCAGTGACGTGCGGTCAGGGGAGGCAGGTGAGGCAGTGCCTCACCAGCCATCATGGAAAGAAAGAAAATATATAATCATAAAGTAATTTAAATTGTTATATTCATCCGGTGGTTTGTACTAAAAAATATTCATTTTTCATGTAGCTTCACCAATTTCGATTTTTATT